TATTTCAGTCTTTTTCATAAATTTCCCCGCAGAGTTGCAGTATATGATTAGTAAATTTGACTTTGGGAACATCTTCTCTGTAAATCATAGTATTCTTAAATCTGCAAATCATGAACTAATTACATCCTTGTAAAAGCTGAAAATATACCTTAGTTTCCCCAAGGTTTGCATCTTACATAAGCTACAGAGAGGAGAGACAAACTCCGCACAGCCATGTCGCTTAAACTACACACTTTCCTGGGAGAACAACACTAACGATCTTACTGTTCTAGAATCTACCCTGGCTCCCACCTGCATTTAGTCTCTGTGGTCTTTAAAAGTTCCTCATAAGTCTTGCCTTATTTTTCATGACCTCCACATTAGGGAGAGTGTCAGTTGGTCATTTTGTTGAGTGCTCCTCATTTGTGTCTGTCTGTCCATGTCTTACGGTTCCTCAGGTTTGGATAGAACTGCCTGTAGCTTGGACAGAACCATCTCAGGCATGGTGTCCTGCCTCCACACGCTGCTGCGTCACAAGGTTCAAGGTACGAAGTAGGGGGGATCATTTCTTGCCTGGATTGTCATTTATTGACTTGGATCACTTAAGCTCTGCCTGGCTTCTCACTGAAAGGCGAACGTCTACCTTTCTGATTATCAGTGGCTCAGGAGACACCTGGCAACTATGAAAGGTATTGCACCCACCAACTCTGGCTCCCACAAGTGGGGTGTTGCCTGCAGTGATTATGACTGCAGTGCTTCTGAATGGGAGCCTTCTATTCTCTGCCTGCCTTTCACATTTAGTCATTGAAATCTGTTATAAGGAAGATCTTTGCCTTATCTTCACTTATTCATATCACTGTGGGCTTGATATTTATTTTTCCTATGGGTTATAGTCCAATACTAACATTATTTCACCCTGAAGATGTAAACTGTAATGTTTTTACTGGGAAAATAGTCTATAAGCATAGAGGTACCTAATACATTCAGAAAATTCTGCTTAGCGAGAGAGGAATGTATAAATATTTGAACTGAAGTATTTGCATCTCAATTCTGTTTTTGCCATCTTCACATTCCATTTTTTATGTTAAACAAAAGAAAACTCATCAAATTGTGTCTACGTATGATTTTTAAATATTTTTCCAAATATCAATATGGGAAAATCCAGTTATGGGACACAACTAGTTATCCTATTAAAAAGGAGCTCCAGGCCCTCCCTG